CACCAGTTTCCAAAGGATGGTCAGAGAAAGAGATTTGTGCTGAATTTGTAATGCCTCCTCCTTCATTTCTTGTACTTCTACTTCTCCCGATGCTATGTCGGATAGTCGGTAGTGGTTTTAAAATTCGTTTTCAACTCTTCACTTTTTTCTTGATATTCATTAATTTCCGTAATATTAAAAAACCTTGCTTTTAATCGAGGAAAATGTTTAAATATTGTTGACTTCAGATCATTTTGAAAAAACTAAAGTTTTGATTGAAATTTAAATACAGTTTGACACAAATCACTTATAGTTTTTTCTTTTCCTTGCAAAGCTAAATTGAGAGTTTGTAGGTGCTGCATGGTGTGAGTCAGAAACATTAAATCTTGAGGCCAGTTTTCATCTTCCAGTTTTAGACATTGCCTTTCTTGTTCTTTGAAAAATATGCAAATGGAAGTGAGTAATGCATTGAATCGGTTCAAAACATTATAAACTGATAACTATCTTACAATACAGTAAAATGATATATCATTTGCCCATTCATCTCCTTCCTGTTTCAGTTCTTCTAAAAAATTCCTGAACTGACGACGAGTTTTTGCATTTACACGAATTAAGTTTATTATTTTCAAAGCAATATTCCACACGTTTTCAAATTTTAAATATTTACTTATAACATGTTCGCGATGAATTGTAAAATGAACTGGTACAAACTTTTTGGATCACTTTTCAAAAGACTAATAAGTCCTTGGTTTTTTCCTAACATTACAGTAGCTCCGTCAATCGCAAGGCTTACAAGTTTATCAATATTTTATGGATGCCGCGAGTTGTTCCTCGAATTGTAAGAGTTACAAGATCTAGCATTCTTCTTTTATATGTACTTCTTCAGAAACGTAGCGGACAAAAATCGCTAATTGTGGAACATCTTGAATGTCTGCAGATTTTTCATATTTCAAATTATTCTTATTAGTTTTATTTATTACAGACTAGATTATAGATGAATATCGCAAAAATCTATTTAAATACCGTAAAATAGTAATTATTGTAATAAATTTTATATTATAAATTATAATATACTGTCCCTGTAACAAAGATGGAGCCGCATTTGCCCACCGTTGCTCTATAGCGTCTTCTTTCTCTGCAACTTCTATAGGAATATTGTCTTTGTCACGAGAACAACTTGCTTTATTACCGTTCATAATAATTAATAGTTAACTTTGTCAAACGACAAACAACGCGAACTTATTTTGAGGTTAAGTTTGAGCACGGCATGGCACACCAGACCATCATTTAGAACAGAAACAGCCTAAGTCGGCGACTTATGTTGTTTAAGCAGTAAACGGCTGTGGCGACATGGCTGTAATTCGATAACAGTTATCTGCACATAAGTTCCTTCAGCCTGGGGAATGGTCGAAACTGTAAAGTTTACATGGATAACCCAAAATGGCCAAAAAGTGACTTAGGTTGTTTCAGCAATAAGCGATTCAACTGTTTTCGCCCAGGTTTGAACCGGGGGCCTTCCGCGTGTAAAGCGGATGTGATAACTGATAACTAACTACATTACGAAAACTATATGATTTCGAAAGTACATTTTCAAGGCCTACCTAAATATACAGGGTGGAGCAGAATGCAGTCCCAAGTTTCAAAAAATCACTGTAGGGCGCCCAGGCCGAACAGAGGGGTGGGGCAGGTGCCGCTAGGTAAGGGGAACAATACCGTTATCAATATCCACCATGCCGAGGTCCGGTGAGCAAACGAGACTTTGTTGTGGAGACGTTCTTTAAAAACGGGGAAAGTGTTATGGCGACGCAGAGGGCTTAAAACCTAAAACCACTCGGAAATGGATCAATAATGTAAGGGCGACAGGATCTGCAGTTCCTAAAAAATCCGTTGGGCGAAAAATTGAACAATCTTCAACCCGATTTGCGCGAAAACATGCTGCTGCGCTTCGAATATCGTCCAGATTTGTAAGGCGAATCTTACACTCAGACCTTTACCTGCACCCCTATAAGATGATATGTGCACAGGAATTGAGCCCACAAGACTTTGTAAAACGTGGAGACGCTTGCAATGCAATCCTAACTGCTGTACCCTCCGGCACTGTTGTGTGGACTGAAGGTGGCGATTGAGGACGTCATCGCTGGAATGTCGCAAGATATTCTGGGAAGAGTGGCCGAAAACTTCTTTGAAAGACTTAATATGTGTATTGGTCGCCAAGGCCTCCACTTGGACGCTATTATTTTTAAAACATCGTGAAAAAAAACGGTATTATATGTACTTTTGAGCAATAAAACCTTTTTTTTATTTATCTCGAACCGTTGTCTTACAATTAACCCTGCAAATCAGGGTTATGCCCCAGCCTATACATCTAAAAGTATCATCAGCGAACTAAAAAAGAAGTTTTAGGCAAAACTGTTTTCGCCCGGGTTTGAACCGGGGGCCTTCCGCGTGTAAAGCGGATGTGATAACCGACTACACTACGAAAACTATATGATTTCGAAAGTACACTTTTATGGCCTACCTAAACATATATCTAAAAGTATAATCAGTGAACTAAAAAAGAAGTTTTTTGTAAAACTGTTTTCGCCCGGGTTTGAACCGGGGACCTTCCGCGTGTTAGGCGGATGTGATAACCGACTACACCACGAAAACTACATCATTTTTAAAGTGAATGTATATGGCCTACCTCAGTATACATCTATAGGTATCATTAACGAACAAAAAAAGTTGTTCTAGAACTGTTTTCGCCCGGGTTTGAACCGGGGGCCTTCCGCGTGTAAAGCGGATGTGATAACCGACTACACTACGAAAACTATATAATTTCGAAAGTACATTTTTATGGCCTACCTAAATATATATCTAAAAGTATCATCAGTGAACTAAAAAAGGAGTTTTTGTAAAACAGCGAGGTGGCTTTCTATCTCCTCCAAAACTAATAAAAAACTCCAGGAAAGAAAAATTCAAGCGAAATATAATAATAAAGCAAATCGAAAAAGACTAATATCAACGAAGCTAATCACATACCAATAATTATCAATGCAGTTATGCTTGATATTATTTCTAAGAATATTCGTACTACTGGTTATCATTAAGGTTTCTAATGTTTTTAAAACTTTGTTGTGACTTTTTTTCATAAGTACACATTCTTATTTCCTTCCAAAAATCTAACAACCTCTAACAAGGAAAGTAACACAACTGTGGCACACCGATTTCGATGAAATTTGGTACAGCCATAGAATGGACCAAAATAAGGTTTACGTATTTTTTTATACATGCGATAAATGCCTCTGAGCAGAATTTTAGGGGTTGAAAGTTTGGGGAATTTTTTTTTGCATATATTTCGAAAACGAGAAGTGCTAACAAAATTTGGTAAATTGAAACTGATGTTTGTTTTTAATAAGCTTTCATTTGATGTATCATACCACAGGGTGAAAACGGGCGAACTACCCTTATTTTTTCGAGTTTGTTTAAAAACCACCCTATAGATTTTGATGGCGTTAAATATGCATTTCGTAAGAATGATGTGATAAAAGTGTCAGGTATTTTGATAATATTTTAAACATGTTATGTTGGCGTCATTCGACTTTTACCACTTTATTATTTAAAACTCAAAGGAGGTGCCTCAAAGTGATGAGTGGCATTGGGTACAGACAATGCTGCAGAAATGAGTTTCTGAATTTCAAAATATTGACGTTTTCTTGTCCTTATATTTTTTTGTCCTTATAGTTTGATGTATGTCAAGAACAATGTTAATAATTACAAAACTAATGGCAACTACCATATTTATAACACTCGCAGTGCATCAATCATTAATTGATGATTGATTTAGAGGGTGAGAGATGGAATCAACTATTACGGCATACATTTTTATAATATATTACCCGATTACGTCAAAAGCTTGGGTGCAAACACGTTCAAAACGAAGATTAAAAGCTATTTATTAAAATAAAATATTTTATCACATAGATGAATACATGAATAATGATTTTGGGGATCTTGTATGATTTTGTTGCTTTTGTCAGACGTTGCCTGTACTCCTAGGTTTCTATATGTATATTGATGTTGTGTTTTTACTTTTCTTTTCGCGTTCTAGTGATCTCGTGTTATGTAAGTATGTATATTATATATATATATATAAGTTGATTATATATGACTTGTAATATGTATTACTATACAGCATTTTGTACTACTGACTTGTGATAATGCTTAATAGCATATTTTCATTAATAAAGATTATTATTATTATTAACTTGAGGTTTCGCGACACCATAACTTTTTTAAATGTAGATTTAGATTCATTAAGAGTTTACAATCAAATTTGAATTGAAGTTTATTGCAAGTAAAAATGAGAAACAAGTTGCAACAGTGTGTGAATTATAACATTTTAATGGTATACTAAAGGTTTGTATTACATTATTCAAGATATGGTAATGCAGTTTTAAAAACATTAAAACAGCTATTGCAAGCAAAAAAATTCTTCACCAACATTTAAAATTATACTTTACCGCTGATGCTTCAAACACATTGATTCAAATTGTTTTTGAATTTGCATTTAAGCACTTCTTAGATGGTCGCAAATTTGCCATGATCATTTATTGTAAACCAATCATTGCATGTTTTCCAAAATGCGATAAAACACAATGACAAACAAAAAAAAAACAAAGATATTTAGCAAGTACACTCCCATCACGTTTTAAGTTCATAAAGTGATTATAAGAAAATGTCAAAAATGTAATAATTTCTTGTATATTCTGTAAATAATTTATCTACATCATAGTGTAAAGAGACCTCACGTAAGTTTCAAGATCGATGTTTAATTAAATCGTTCCTCCAATATTAAATTGAATACGCCCACTGTAGGTTTGAAAGAACAAGTACATGTGTTCATACTGCAAAACCGATACTTAATGCAGTTAAGCTATGTAATTATCGTAGTTGATCGGCAATAAATATCGTTCGTGCGGTATGGTTTATGGGGAAACTGATTTTTCTGTAACTCTAATCCTTTTTATTTCTATTTCCAGGTCGCCGCTACTCATTCTTCTCGTCTACCTCACATTATCATCACATGCTAAAAGTCATGTAAGTAGAAAAGCAATAATTTCTATTTCCTCGTAAATTAATTACACAGTTTAAGATACGGGTTAAAGTGGTTGTTAATTAAAAAAGTGGTTAAAAAGTATCTTAAAGAAAGATTTTCTTCAAGTTCTCAAGTTTCTTCAAGTTGTTTAAGTGCGTACTTAAAATATTTCACATAATCATTACAACGTACCCGACAAGTAAGTTCATTGTACCTATAAAACCGTTGACTTCATGCCGGAGTAATATTTTAAAAACCAATTTTAAATCGATTTTTTCGCAACGAATTAATCAAGGTCATTTAGGTTTATTTAAAAAATTTCATATTGGTTGATTAAATTTTTTACCAAGAAAAAAACTAGGTCGCTGATCTTTCCCACCATAAAAAAATAACCAAATTGTATAAACAACCGATTGAACTATTCGCGATTAAACGACGTTGTAAATGTTAAAATTAACTCTTACGCTAAACAGACAAATGGCTCTATTTCCAGTACGCCTGAAAATAAAGTGTTCATTCATGATGCGGAATTCTAGATTCCGAAGAAATGTTTACAAAACCTGTCTCTATCGGGATCTTTCCACAAATAATAACATAATAAATTTTCAAAGCTCACACCTTCACTTTATCTTCATTTCCGTTTTTTTTACTTCGCTGTTTATTATGCAATTCACTTGAAACGGTTACGTCACTCGAATTAACCGTCGTATAACGTAAAAGTTTACGGTACACACATCGACGAGCAAAGTATTAATGATGCAACTTTTACTATTCCATTCATTAACTTATCCGTTCATAAAGCGCACGTTTTTACAACCGAACGGCAAATGAAACGTTTTGTCGCCTCATTGCGGTAATTGCTTAGTAATTTCTGTATTAGCTAACGAGTAAGAAAAGACTTAACAGCTTTTTTTTCTAGGATAAATTTCGCATTGTCACTCTTATAAATTAATCTTTATAATTTTGAAATATAATATCATTTTTTTCTCGAAGTAAATATAACTAAATTAGATATGACCAAGTCATCTTCGTTCTATTAACATACAGGTAACCCCCGTACAACACGGTATATACGTTCCTAAAAGACGCCGTGTTATTTAGGTTTCGCAATTAAAAAATAAATAAACTAATTTAATTAATAAATAAAGGAGTATTAAATTTACTTACTAAAGCAAGTTTACAAAAAGATTAATGTTAACATAATATTATTGTTACATATTACATGTCTTCGTCATCACTACTAATCACGCGAGGGCGCTTTCTTTTTGGCGAAACATCATCCTCTGCTCCTTGTTCAGCAGAGAATGATGTTTCATTATTTCTTTTTTGCAAAAAAATCTGTTATTTTGGGTTGTTTCTTGTTGGCTGACAGATCTTTAAAAATTTCGTTGTATGGAGCCAAGCATTTGTGAAGTTCTCTTTTAAATTTTGTGCTTCTTTCAGTGGAAGGATCCTCACTGACAAAATATCTTTCCAATTGTTCAGCAATATCTAGGCTTTTTTTTATATCTTTTATAGTAAAATCTTTTACAATAACAGTAACATCTTGCTCTGTATTGTTTTCATCGTCATCATCAAGAAAATCAGTTGTGTTTATTTCTGATGCCATTTCCAGCAAACTTACCATATCAATTTCTTCTTGTACCAGTAATTCTTGAATATCTTCCACATTCATGTCGTCAAAACCCTCCCCTCCTGCAGACTTAGCAACTTCTACAACTGCATCTAATACTTCGTTATGATCTGGATCAATTAAGTTATCCTTTTCACTGCCTCTGGCCATAGATTTTTCCAACAACTATTCAATGCTGATGGTTTTAATTCCTTAATGGATGAAGATATGTGATTAATACAGTCCAAAATTCAATAGAATCATCTTCAACTTTATTCAAAATCCATTGCAAAGATGTTCTTATGTAATAAGATTTAAACGTAGATATAATACCTTGATCTAGTGGTTGAAGTAATGAAGTTGTATTCGGCGGTAGAAATATTACTTCAACATTTGGGTGACTAAAATTTTTCGGGTGACTTGGTGCATTATCCAATATTAGTAGAATTTTAAAATCTATTTTTTTTTTTGCTTTAAGTACTTCTCCACGCTTGGAAGAAAACAGTTTTAAAACTTTCTTATTTGCAGTCCAACATACCGGTAAAGCGTTTTTATTAATTTTTTTCAATGCACGAGGATTGAGGGATTTATAAACTAGCATGGGCTTAACCACGTGATCACCTGAGGCGTTACTGCAGATAAGTAGTGTTAGTCTATCTTTTGCTACCTTAAAACCCGGTGCAGTTTTTTCATTTTTTGAAATAAACGTTCTTTTGGGCATTTTTTTCCACCAAATGCCGGTTTCATCTGCGTTAAAAACCTGATGTGGTGTATATCCACCCTGTTGAATAATTTTTTCCAACTCTTTCGTATACTTTGTAGCAGCTTCACTATCAGCAGATGCACTCTCTCCTTGTATTATAGGTTTTGCAATGAAAAACTTTTTTTAAAACGGTCGACCCAACCTTTACTGGCAACAAAATCGGGATCTGTAGTAGATTCTCCACTTTCCATTAAAAAGTTGTATATTTTTAAGGCTTTATTTTTAATAATATTTGTGTCTAGTGGCATTCGTTTATTTGAGCAATCGTCAATCCAAACACTAAGAGCTTTTTCCATTTTTTCAAGAATTGGTGCTCTACGACGAGCTGTCATATTTGTGGAGACGGAACAACCTGCAGTAACGGAAGATCTAATTTTTTGTTCATTTTTCTGTATAGTAGGTATTGTAGCTTCATTCAAATTTAGGGTTTTAGCAACGTATGATATCTTCTCCCCCTTTTTAAGGCGATCCAAAATCTGAATTTTTTTGTTCTACTGAAATGAAATGTCTTTTAAGAGGTGTTTTTTTCTTTATAGTAAACATTGTTCGAAGCTAGAAAAAATAATATTTAACATTTTTCAAAGTTTCAATAACAATTCATACTTTCTATTACATATATGTAATAAATAAAAATAAAATTATCAAACTTCTAGATGCACAAAGCTAACACGACTGACACGATCGAATGAGAAATATCACATCACGAAATAATAGGGGATTTCCCTATAGTTGAAGTAAAAATACCGTGTTATATGTACAGGGATCTTCACTATTTACAGGGATCTCCACTACTTCTCGAACAGCGTTAGAGCGAAACCGTGTTGTAAGAAACCGTGTTATATGAAAATTCTTCCTAATTCTCGAATCGTGTTAGAATGAAACCGTTTTATAAGGATATCGTGTTATACAACCCCCGTATAACACCTGTAGTTTAATTATCGCCGGTTATACACAATTAATACTTGGACTGAAAATGAAATATATTAAATACAGAAATTTTTTATTGTTGGGTTTTATCTTGTACGACGTAACTGATTCGTTAGAACTTTTTAGGTTTCATTATTCGTACAGTTTTGAAATTTTGGTGACCGCCACTTCCGGTCTACAAGAAACAAGAAATAGACCACAACTTCGTTATTTTAAATGGATTTCTATAGTTTTCATTGCACCTTTTAATTATATGCGAAAAAACTGGTTCCTAGCGTTTCTGGCACTCCATGCATGTTTTAATAAATTTCCCAATATGATTGAAACTACGATAAATAGGCGTAGGCATGTTTATAGATGATTTGCAGAGAAGTAGATTCTCTCTCTAATAGGTTAAAAAGGTATGAAGCGTTCCATTTAAAATTTTCGACATTCTTGCCATTGAATATGGAGAAACCGTAATTCAAATAGTCTAGCCATATACAACACGACAATCGACAATTGCATACATTCGGCGGAGGTTTTTCATGACTCCTACAATGTCTTCAGGTGTAATAGGCCCAATAGGCCTGTAGTATTCTGGGTGGTGGTGGTCTGATCGCCATTACCTCTGCGTTTTCTGTGACAACTCATGGTGACTATGTGGTCTGTTTCAATTCAATCATCACGTTAATGCATTTCATAGTACTTTGGACCTGGTAATTGCCAATTTTTATAACATCACTGAACTAACCTTGTGCGATAGCCATCTTATTCGTGAAGATATTGCACACACAACTATTGTGTTTTCCTGTGCGGTCGCCTCGTTACCTAAGCTCAACTCCAGGACCTCGGTTTTTTACAATTATCGTAAGGCTGATTTTGAGTCTCTTAATGCTTATCTCAATTAATTGGAAGATGGTGTTGAGCGAAGGTGACTTGGATGGCTGCGTTGAATTATTTTATAGTTATGTTCGTGACGCTATTGAAAAATTTGTTCCCACATCACTTAGACACAAGGGTGACTATAGTTTGTGGTTCTCGTCCGATGCTGTACGGGTGATTGAAGATAGGCGATGGAGGCGGTTTGGTGATCGCATAGATTACCTCACATTCTCCCTTTTGAGAGGGAGAGCGAAATTACACACACCGGTCGGAAACTAACATTACTTTAAACCCAAAACTTTTCTGGTCATTTGTTAGACAACGAAAAAGAGAGAATAATATTCCAGTAATTGTCTCACATAACGGTGTGGTTGCCACTAATGGTTCTGGTGTTTATTCGCTGTTTACCACCTCCTTTCACTCGATATTTATCCCAGCTCGGCCTGGAACTGCTTCCGACAATAATTTTGATACTGACCATGTCTATGCGATGTACAGGGCGTCCTAATTTCGATGTCCGCATAGGCTATCTCCGAAACTAAAAGAGATAGAAAAAAAGTAGCTTACATGTCATGATCTCGTTTTTCGGGAAAATGCTAATGCCGAAAACTCCGAACAGCTATCGTCTTTTGTTTTCGCCCTATCGGCAAAAACTGAAAATTTTGCGAAAACGACATTCGCGAATATCTCACTTATTATCAAAGATGGAGTATTATAAATAAAACATCATATGGGCAACTTTTTATGAAGAATTCAGTGGCGTAGGTAGAATTTTTTCCCATCTTTTATTTTCGAGATTTTAGACGTAACTTTATTTTTTTAAATGGAAATCATAC